GGTAAATCTCAAAAAGGGATTCTCAGAAAAACTAGGAAAAAAAAAAAAAAAAAAAAATCAAGCTTCAGGAGATGAGACGTTCCTTACTTTGATTTTGAACGCTCGCTTGAAGCCGCTAGCAAAGAATCCGCCGAACGGCCCGATGAGGGAGGCGAAGGACGACAGGAAGATGCTGTGGATCTGGAAGGGGTAAAGGTTCACCGTTTTCTGAAATGGAAACAAAAAAACAGGATTTCATGACTTCATTCAGGACGTTCTTGAATAAGAGCGCGGATAAAGAGCGGGTCTCACCCAGCTGAGCGTGTTCTGCAGCGCCGCAGGGAGCGTGTACTCCTGCATGACAAACAGATCAGACGGCTCACATTCCACCGTGAACCTGTTGGTCTCACTGTTGAACTCCACCGGACACACAAAGTACTGGAACTGCGACAGGAGGTAGGCCAGCTGACGGGGAAGAAACAAAGACGTGAGTGATGCGCCGGTTACGGCAAATTTTACTGGATGATAAATTGTCCCAGAAATTATGGCAATAAATGAAAATATTTTCAAGTAGTAAAAACAAAATTGTCGTTAAAAAAAGGACTAGTTGAGCCCAAACCACCAGACTGAAGACAATAAATTATCCAAATTAAATTATTGAGCTTGTTTTAATTTATAATGCGATGAATTGATCTAATGCTTATTGGGGCAGGCCTAGTCAGTGATATGAGAAAACAAAGAGATGTTGCATTAATAACTTTTGGATAAGTTATTTTCTGAGGTTTAATCTCAGTCCTAAACCTAATAATAATGTATTCAGGTTATCTGCAGGTGTAAACAAGTCAAATTTAAGAATTTCTAAGACCTTTTAAAGCCACCTTGAATTAAATTCAGAGACGAAAACACCAAGTATAAGGGATTTTTAGGGTTGCAAAGATTAACGTTGTCTAGGTAACTGGCAATAAATTTCCATTTTATTTGCAATTTGCAAATTTTAAGACTTTTGATTAATATATTTAAGGCCATCTTACCTTTTTCAAAAGACTTAAGGCCTTAATTTTTTTAGATACATTAATTTAAGGCTTTTTAAGGAAGTGTGGAAGTGAATAAGAAGAAAATAAATCTGTCAACAGATAAAACAATAAAGATGTTTTTTAATCTACACAGGCAGCAGGGATAAAAACAGAACACTCTGGTTCATAATCTGATTTAAGTGAGACGGTAGAAGCAATGGGCAGAAGACCTTATTTCATATTCCCATGGTTCTCAAACTGTGTTGCGAGCATCACGGGTTGCTTCTAGAAGTGGTGATGTAGTATTTAATAGCTTCCTGTAAAACCAGATCTTCTTCGTCCTTCTCTGGGTTCTTGGAAACCATTTAGGGGGAAATGCTGAGCGTGTGATGAAGCTGTGAAAACTTAACTACTCACAATGAAGCCAAAGACCACCGTGGAGAAGAATCCCCCGATGAAACCCTCCCACGTCTTCTTGGGCGAGAGCTGCAGGGGGAACGAAGAGAGAAGAAGAAGTGAAAAGCTGTTTCCAGCATCAACAAAGCTGACAATGTTTTTATCCACCATTAATAAACCGCTTGTGATTCGAGAGAAATCGTTTTTTTCACGCGGTACTTTGATCTGACTCAGTGTCAACAAGCAGATAAAATCCCACCAACGCACAGAAACAGACGTCTGTTTCATTTTAGACTATTTAAAATCTCTTTGACGAGTTTCTCATGACGACTCTCTAGCATGTCTTCACTGAAACCAGATTTGGTTTGACTGAACTTTAAAAGGAGAGATGGGATCGAACCTAACCTGAAAAGCAAAGCTTGCCTTTTCAGAAAGTATCTTCTCACTAAAAACCAGAGCAGCATCACTTAGTTTTTCAAATTTGCACACCTGATAGTCCGGCAGACTTGCTCGATTTACCTTTAATGGGCCAGCGCCCCCGATCCATTATCCAGGTCCCTTTGCACTGAATACCATTTTATGATTAATATTACCAACATTACTGCTGTCTTGATGTTCATTGTTCCTTCTGCATTTAAAAACCTCAGAAGACACAACTTCCTTCTTATTGCAAACAAAATGGTGTGGCGTCAGATTTTAGCGCTTGCAGGATTTTTTTGTACCTTTCTAGGTAAACGGTCTAGAGTTTGATTAAAGCACACTAACTGAATTCACCCTGAGTGAATCACAAAACCCAAGGAAAAATGCAGATAAAACCAGAGTATAGACGTTTGGTCACGATGCACAGCTGGAGGAAACCAAATGCATCACATCAGCGTAAACATATTTCAACTGGAAGGCATAATAATTTGACACAGGACTTGAAAACCTTGAAGTTATTGATCACCATGAACTTCCATCAACACCAAGTTTAAGGAAGTACAAGATAAGCAGCTTAGATTCATGATCAGTCAAGAACCGGAGGTAATCAGGTTTTAGTCTTCAGACACCTTCACCTTAAATTCTTAATACCAACCAACGAAGGCAACCAAAGCTCTTTACAGTAAAAGTTACATCACAAGAAAAACAGACCAACAGAATCCAACAAGAAACAAAGAGATAAGAAAAATGAAACTATGCTACATGGTAATAAAACTGTGAAGTAAAAAGTCTTGAGCTTAGACTGGAGCACCACTTGGTTTGACGAGTCAGACGTTAAAACCAACGATTTCCACCTGCAGCTGTCCGTCACAAGCCGAGTTCAGTAAACTACTGAGGTCTTACGCTGGTTTCATGTCATGCTGTTGTGGCTCAGCTAAAGTAGTGAAATACGAGGTCTCCGGTTGGACAGCTGGGCCCAAACGAGGTCAATAACAGGACAGAGGTTTCACACACAGCAAAAGACCTAAAACATGGCTGAGGAAAACTTTTCCATCAATTTTAAGGAACTGATGACATAAATCAAGCTCATATTTCTTGCTGAAAACTTACTTGTGAGTTACTTTTGTTTTATTTCACGTGTACTAAGATATTTGATCAAAAATCAATGTATTGAGTATAAAAGAGATTTCCCATAGAAATCAGCTACAACTTGCATTTAAAAGAAAAAAAGCTTGCTTTACCTTGATAAGAGGAGTTCTCCCAAAGAAGAATCCAAACAGATACGCCATGATGTCGTTGCAGATCACTATGGAAATGGGAACAATGTACCTAGAAAGCAGGAATGTCAGCTATGTGAGCGGCAGTTGAAGTCACAACAAGTTAACATTTATTCCATTTAAATTATTTAACTAATTAAAATCAGTTTCTATTTGGTTACTGCTGCTACAGGACACACAAAAACAGAGCACCACAACACTAGTGATGGCACATCGTGGCTGTCTGTGTCCTGCTTACCAGATCATTCCTTCAAACAGGTTCTGAATGACAAGGTGGGACTGAGTTACCACAATCAACAGGGTCACATGGGTCCAAGCAAACTGGAATGGCAAACACAAAACACAAACACCACAGTTTCACTGGACTGGAATGTCGTTGTGCCTGTTCAGAAGTGAGCTCGTGTCGGAAATAAATGGAGCCCAAACAGGTGAATGACGCCGACGGAGGGAGACGATCAGAAACATCAAAATGAAGCAGGCGACAGACGGACAGAGTTCACACTGGAAATTCAGGAGGGTGCATGCGGAAAAGACCAAAATCAAACTGTAACGCTGCAGCATGATGAATGCAGGACGACACAGGAGCCAGAATTAGTCATATTTTGAAAATAATCAACTGCAGCAACATGATCAGCATGAATGAGTTCTTACTTGGGGTTTTTAAATGGGTGATGTCAGCTTTTCTATTTTCAGAATGGAACGATTATGCAACATTCACAGAGAAACTGAGCGCACAATTTACTTAAAACATGCACTGCAAAAAACACAAAATCTTACCAAGTATTTTTGGTCTAGTACACTTGGAATAAGAGAAAACTAAATTACAAGCAACTTTTCAGCTTGTTTAAAGTTAATAATTACTTAATATTGATGAAAAACTACTAGCTGTATGGGCAGATTATTTTACTAACAAGACATTTTCCCATGTTATAAGTGAAATTATCTGCCAACAGAACTAGAACTTTTTCACCAGTATTAAGGAATATTGACTCAAAACATCTTGCTGAGTCAATACTTGTAAGTTAGTTTTGTCTTATTTCAAGTGTATTTATTTGCACCAGAAACTAGACCAAAAATACTTGTTAATATTTTGTGTTTTTGCAGTGTAATAATTCTGGACTTTAGATCCCTATTATTTTTTGGCAGAAATGATACAGTTCTTTATCTGGTTTCAAGGCACAGTAACCCAGATAGGCTTAAACTTTCCTCTGAAGGACTTTTCTAACGTCAGAACCAGCAGTGTAAGTCGCATTGAAACATAACTAATCTTGGCATTAGTGATTACAAAGCAGAAGTTTGGCATTAGTACCATTTATTGTTATTTTATGACCTTGTGCAGTGATTGTCTGAACACACGATGCATGTTAATCTAACACAGCAGTGGTTGATAAGCTAATTTAACCACCTGCTCCACTGTTCATATGTTGTTGTGTGTGGGTTGCCTTTTTATTATTAATATTTTTATTTTAGCTGAACTGAAACACACCAAATTCTGCAGCACATCTACCTGTTAAGGTTGTCATAAATGACCTAATTCATTCTCTCTCACTAACTTTTATTTTTAATTAAAACTTCTTCTTGACCTGTGAAATGTTATACTGTAGAATTTCGTTATCTAATTAGTTATGTTGGCAAAGCACTGCATCCTTTTTTTCTTCTATATATGAAGTGTACATTTAAGATTTAGTGCATTATGTTGACAACTTGACAGCTAAAGCTAACGGTAGTCATCGTCAGCAAGCAGAATCTGTTTATGTTGCAACATAAATATTTCCTCATAATATTAAGCTTCAGGACCCAAACCCTGCAGAAAATTAACAGACGATGTTTAAAAGCCGGGTGGTGCCAGGAAACCAATTAAATGAAGACCAGTTCTGCCAAGAACAGCATTAGAAGAGCCAAGTATCCAGCTAGTTTTACGCCAGTCCACTGTTAACTGCAGAAATTCAGTGTTTAAGTTGCATTATTGTAGCGTATTCTGCTTTAAAAGCCTTACAGGCCAAAATAACTTCACTAGTGCATAAAATCAGTCCAAATTAAAGTCTTCTCAGTTTGACGTCATGAAAAGCAGAGAACAGACCAAGAGGATGGACAGCAGGTTCAACGCAGTGAAGCAGAGGAGATGGTTACTTTGCTGATACACACCATGTAAAACTGCAGGCGGTAATGTTTCTTCACTAAACTCAGCACAAACATGCAGAAACCTGTGAAAGAGTAAACAACATGCTGTCAGTTTTACTCAGCAGTGTACAGTAGATTAAACAACAGTCTGCTCTGTGCTGTAGAGAGTAGGTGAACCATGCATTTGATTAAACAACTTCATATGTTCACTGACATAATAAAAGTTATAATAATTACACAACGACTAAACCTGCAGTGCACTAAACTGAAATGAGAGCTGCTAATGCTGGTTTATGTATCTTGTCTGATGAGCTTTAATGCAACGCTTTGACTCACTGTCAGGCGCTTTGGAAACTGTCTGATAACCGTAGCACTCCGCAGGATGCTAAGACGAAAGACTCGTTTTATCCTGTCCACTGAAGTATTTTCTTTATAGTGGATGTTTTATTTAAAAAAAATTTGTGTCAACTTTTTACATATCTAACATAAAAACACACCTGAGTGAAGTTGGCCCCCACCTTCTTCAAATCTAACAAAATTGGTGTCAAAAGTTTGTGCTACGTTTGTGTAGCTGCCATTATGTATTATAAATCATAAATAAATATATCCTTCAAACCAGACAAAATTGGTGTTGATCAATTTGTGCAGCAAAAATTTTCATTTGTGCTGCCATAATTTTAAAAATGACCTCTGGAAATAAAGAAGTTTCCAGAGGTCATCATCAATATTTTCAAAGCAAAAGCAGCACATACTTTTTTTCTCGCTATAAAAGCATAACTGAGTTGACTGACACCAAATTTGATTGATTTTGTAAATGTGAGCGTTGGCCTTTGACCTCTGAAATCTTTTTCATTAATATCTTTAAAACAATAGCTGCACAAATAAAAATTTTGCTGCACAAATGTTTGACACCAATTTTGTTAAATCTGAAGAAGATTTGGGGGGCAAATTCACTCAGATCAAAAACACAACGGGGCAACTGATGGAGTGACCCAGCGCCCCTAGGAACAGGCTCAGCTAGTTTACTGGGAAAATCCCTGGAATTAAATTAAATTTAAAGCTTTTTTTAACATTTCTTGCTCATAATTTCAGAGGATGCTGCATGTGAGCTGGTGTAAGATCAATAAACTGTCCAACCAGCAAATGAAAGATCAAAGATAAAAACAGTAAAAGGAGGATATGAATGAGCTCATGTGATTGTAAATCAGTGTTAAAGCTCCAAGGGGATTTGCTGCTTTTTTCTTCAAAAAACCAATGCTGTTTGAGGATGGAATCTGAATCAGAGGGGTCAAAGGTCATGTGTTGTTATTCCAAGATACTGAAGGCGACTCACCTGCGAGGTACAAAGTGAAAGAAATGAAGCGGTGATAGCGAGAAAGGAACTGCAGAGGCTCCTCCCTCCGCACCAAAGCCCCAAAGTAATCCGCGAGCGTTTCACCATAGAAGAAGTAGTTGACACAAATCAGGAAGTACCTGAGGCAGAAAGCATAGGTCTGGTGCTAAGCTATTGTTTGGGTCACTGGGTTGACCTGTTGCACGTTAACTTACAGAGAGAGTGAATGTGTGTGTGTGTGTGTGTGTGTGTGTGTGTGTGTGTGTGTGTGTGTGTGGTGACCTTGGTAGGAAAATAAAAAGTGTTCATTTACTTCCAGCATGGCAGTGATCTTTGCTCTGATCTTTGCATTGTGTGGGTGTGTATGCAAAGTGTCAACAGCAGCAGCAGGGTGGGGATGCCACACACACACGCACGCGCACACACACACACACACACACACACACACACACACACACACCAAAATATGCAAATCTCACAAAGTGTAATTGATACTGTATTAGTTTAGATAGCAAACAGTAGACTGGGAATCATAATGTATTTCCTGTTTAGTACGTCTGCGTGATTTATAAAAGGAAACATTTCCTGCTCTAAATTTGACAGAAGCGTCAAATTTACAGCATGTTTGCGGTGGAGATTTTTATCTCGTAGCTGAAGCTATTTCAGTTCTGATTAGGGAAAGGTTTGGTTGAAAATTATTCTCCACTATTACAGCTCCAGGAAAAGGTTGGACACACTGATCCCACATCAAATTGGAGATTTTAAGAGTATTTTTAACGATGTGGCTTCAAAATAAAACATTTTTCATACCAAATCAGATTTTTCTCACTTCTGTTTGTAAA